TCTTTCTGATATTACCGAATGAAATAGGCTCTCATACGTAGCAATAAAAGACAGGATTTACCAAAAAGTTACTATGTTTTGTTTTGATATGATATGATGATATTTGGGTCTAATTACTTCCTCTTTTGCTTTTTAATGCCATAAAAATGTGGATGAAAAGTGTGCTAGAAGTAAAGAGAAAGCGCTAGGAATGAAAGGATAAGTGGAATCGAAGCGACCGAGTCAAGAATGCTATTCACTTCCACTGCAGGGAAATCGAATAAATGTTGTTGTAAATGTCCATTACCGCTACTCGTCGTTTTGAGCAAAATCCTACTATTACATGTAGATAATCTTTACGCATTGGACATTGCTGAAATTATTTTGTGACATTCATGTTTTTGTTCATTTACAGTACAAAATCCGCGGATGTGAGGTGAGGCGGCGGCGCCCACAAAATCGCGTCCGTCCCACGCGACCGGAAAGTGGAAAAGGGGCGCCATCGTGAATGTGTTAAGGCACTGAAGCGATGGAGACGATGAGACAATGCGATCAGTGACCTTAAACCGAGAAACGACATCGTCGAGTTTTTGTGGAAATTGAAACATGAGCACTAGCAGGCCCACCAATTTTCACAAAACCTACACTACAAAAGACCCTTGCTAGCATGACATCCTTCAAACCTTCATCTCACCCTTTTTAAGAGCAACTGCTAGAGATCATTCAAACTGTGTTGTTTCGCGCACTTCTTCAGCTTCAACATCGACCACAACAAGTAATCCGCTACATTCGAATCGGAGGTTTTGGTTTGGTAATTTTGCACAACCCCAAGTCGCGCAAATAGGCTCTGCAGCAGACTCTCGCAAAATTCAGTCCATGAGCCGGCATACCGCCTTGCTAGTTGTTGCAGTCATTTTGAGTCATAGAAGTAACAAAAGCTTTCTTGAAAAGCTATCTTGGATAGCATCTAGCTTGAGGTTTCAGTCCCATACAGGAGAAAGCCAACTGAGATGAAGAAATCGCGGTTACTCAGGTTCAGATCATCGCTGAGCTAACAGGTTGCATTTGATTTCCAGTGTTCCTGCTCTGCTACTGCCTTTGGAACTCTTAACAATCATTCCCGAATTTTCTAAATGAAGGCATGGTTCTCCATTGAAAATACACCGGTGTGCAAAACTTAAAGGCAAACCCCGGGATTGAACTAGGTGCTATCAGCGCTTGTAGTGATAGCTTAGCTGCGGAACGACCTGAAAGTGGAAGGAAAGCAAGAGAAATCTTTGGAACGCTGAAATAAGGCCTTAACCTTCAATAGGGTCGGATGTGGTACGATGGCGAGAAGGGCGGTCAAAGAAGACAAAATACGCGAGAGAGCACGTCGTTTGAGAGAGCACGCTGATCTCTACATCAATGCACGCTGATCTCACCACATCTCGCGGTGGGTGGGAAGCGTTGGAAGGGTCGATGGTTGCAGGCCCGTAAGGATTAGCGCCCTAACCGCGCAATTTTTGCGACGAAGCTGGAGTGATCTAGGTAGGTACGGACCTTACAATTTCCCTCGTGGTATCCCTCCTACTAGTCGGGCCAATCCCGGGGTTTGCCTTTAAGGACGAGACCAATAAGTCGACATAACTTATTAACAATTTGATGGAATTGGATGAAACTGTACGGGCATAATGCTAGAAGCCCTACAGTCATGGGCACCGAAGTGGGCCTCATATGTCTTGCATCCGGCTTCAATCTGGAGCCTAAATGGGGTGGCCACCCAGAACGATGGGTATCGTGGGGCAGGACAAGAGGGAGTGTACTGAGCAGGGAGAAGTTACTGTGGAATGTAGTGGTGTTCTTGATTACAGCAAGTCTCAGAGAGACAACACTAGGGTGACTTCACGCGAGGAAGAATCACCGGGAAACTGGAAGAAGGAAGATTTGTAACGAGTGTGGTCCAGGAGTTTGATGTTGCTCACACCATTGTTTTGTGCGCATAAGGAGCAATATGGACCACTGCTGCCCCTAGAAGAGTAGGTGGTGGATCACGATCAACCGCAACAGCAGGTGATTGCTACGTTTTGCAACAGGCAAGAATGGACCCACGTCAGTCACAGGCTGCAGTTGCAAAAACATTTATCAGGATTGTAAGGCACGTAATCCCAGCCTGAACAGTGGCACAGTGACCGCATAGGGATGGTCTCTCTGACCGACCAACAGTATCTGGTGTTCCTTCGAAACCCGCGCATCGGCGGGAACATTTGCTAGGTGCCGGGACATTGGCGATGGACCACCGATTTGAAAAATCGCGTGTTCTTCTCAGTCAAGAGCAAACTGAATGTGAGTAGTGATTGGACTTACCTGCATATGGGGAAAATAGGAACGTGTAATCTACCCAGGACCATCGTTTAACATGATTGTTTTGGTAGTCATGCGACATGATGTGGGGAGGCATAAAGTTGTCGGGGCGTACTGATCCCCAACTCATGATCGCGTTACACTTTCTGATCAACGTGATTGTGACGTGTACTCCTCTGTCATGTGCATCTTTCCAAGGGTGCCCTTGACCCTCAACTTCAATCGTATGGAGGGCAAGGTGCGAGAGTATCGAGCAGCCTGGGTGGAAAACTCTTGGAAAGCGAGGATTTTGGACGATTGGTGAGCCCCGCCTGCTTACCCCAGTCAAATTCTATGAAGCGCCTCGCATTCAGGAGAGCTATTGTAGCGCATCCCCATGCGCCAACAAGTCCAGCAGTTGTCAATCGCGGTCTTCAAGGAATGGATCGCTTCTCCACAAGAACTCTTAACCAACCTTGTGGCCAGTATTGGAGCACGTAGCAGAGCATGCTTTGCAGTCCGTAGTGTTCATACACCCCATCAAGAACCAGCTCCTCTCTTTTGAATGTCTACCATGAGTTGGAGAAGCCTCACCTATCGACCGCTTCAGACAGGGTATTTGCAGAA